AAAAAAAAAAAGAGGAGAAAGAAGAGGAGGGAGAGAAACAAGAGAAAGGTGACTGAAAGTAAATATAGGACTGAATGCAAGAGCTAAGATTATAAATCTTCTGCAAGAAAACATAGCAGGCCCTTCTAACAGTGGGTTAGACCAAGATTTCTTAAGATACAAAAAGCATGAGTCTTAAAAGCAAAATATTGATACTTTTTTTAATTACCTGTTTTGAAAAATACAGAAAGTGAGGTAAAAAAGGCAAGCTATAGCCTGCGAGGAAATATATTTTTAAAATTTAGATAAAAGACTTGTATCCAAAATACATAAAGAACTCTTTTAACTCAAATTAGGAACAGAGGCAGCCCAGTTAAAAAATGAAAATTTTAGAAGTATGAAAGATTTGAACAGACACGTCAAAAAAGAATAGTAAATAAGCATATAAAAATAATATAAAATGCATATAAATCTCTTTATATTTTAACTTTTTATTATATAAAATATAAGTGAAGAATGTATGAATATGAAAAGATACTCAACGTCATTAATCATCAGGGAATGCTAATTTAAACCACAATGAGAACCACCATGTATCTGCTACCGTGTCATTGAAATTGAGAATACCAAGCGCTAGTGAGGATATGAAACCCTCATATATTGCTGGTGGGCCTGTAAAGCAGGGCAGCCTCTTTGTAAAACAGTTTGGTAGTTTCTTATGAAGTTAAGCATACCCCTACTCAGCAATCACACTTCCAGGTGCTTATCCAACATATGTCCTAAGATTCAACGAATGTTCATAATACAGTTGTCCCTCCATATCCATGGGGTACTGGTTCCAGGACCCCTGATGAATACCAAAATCCATAGATGCTCAAGTCCCTTATATAAAATGGTACAGTATTCGCACTTAACCTACATGCATCCTCTTTTATACTTTAAATCACTTCTAGATTACATACAATGCTTAATACAATGTAAATGCTATATAAATAGTTGCTGGCATGGCAAATCCTTGTGCTTTTTGGAACTTTTTGGAAAATTTTTTCCGTATATATTTTCAATCCATGCTTGGTTGAATCCGTCAATGTGGAACCCACAGATATGGAAAGCAACTGTAGTTTTATTTATAGGAAGTAAATATAACCTGGAAATAATTGATGAATTGATAAATAATGGAATTCCATGAAATAATAAAATGGAATGCTGACATGTGCAGAAACATAGGTGAATCTCAAAAGCGTTATGCTAAGTGAAAAAATCCAGACACATGACTGTACTGTATTATTCCCTTTCTGTAAAATTCTATAAAGGCAAAAGTGTAATGAGAGAAAGCAGGTACATGACTGCCTGAGAAGGGATTGGGGAGAGGGTTAACCGCAAAGGGGAAAAAGATATTTCTGAAGAGTGGTGGTGTCTCAGGGAAGGCCAAGGAGGGGATGGAAATAGTATGTATCGTACTTATGATAATAGTTAGACAACAGTATACATTTGTCAAAAGTCATCAATGTGTACACTTAAAAATTGGTGTATTTTGTAGGAAATTACACTTCAAAGCTGATTAATGCAAAACAAAGCCTATATACCCAAAAGAAGAAATTAGTCTTTAGATTTACAGAATCTCAAGTCAGTGTTTGGGAGACAAATTTTAGAAATCCCAGAGAGAAAGAGGGAGCCATTAAAAGAAGCCCAGTGTATTCCAGTTTGCAGTCTCTGCTGAATTGAGTCACCAGGGTATTTTAAAATCTTGGCATAAATCAGATTCCCATTTTTGGTGATCTTGCAGAAGCATGGAAAATTGGTGAAGATAATAGGGGCTATTTAGTGGGGGATAAGGGAAGAGGGCAAGTCTCTAAGGAATTATGAATACGCTGTAGGCCAGGAAGAATGAATTTAGCACTAGGAAAATATTAAACGTCATCACAGAAACAGCTTGCAAACAATGAAGGAAACAGAATAGCAGAAGCTTGGCTTTGTAAAGAAGCAACCGCGCCAGACCACTTCAGCCCCCTAATGCACTGAACAGCAGGTCTGTCTGGCAGTTTAACCAGAAGCAACAATTGGAATGCATCTTGGCCCTGGACAGATATTTAGATTTAGTCAATAGTAAACCCTCATCACTAAAATTGGGAAATACAGTCTGCAGTCCTAGATGCACGCCTAGCTGAGGAATGATAGCTAAATTGCCCTGGAAAGGTGCAGAGAACAGAGGAAAACTATGTTTGAATCATGGGTGATGAGTGTACGGTGTGTTTGAGGCATTAAGAAGTTGGCATGGGCTGGGAAGCATGTGTGTTTGGAGAGCGAGGAGAGGGAATGAATCAAAGATGGAGCCAGAACACAAAGGGCCTTAACGAACCATGTGGAAGGGCAGGACCCCATTAATGAAGTCCCCGGAGGAATTGTTGATGGTAAGTAGGTCACTTTTGAGCTCCGTTTTCATATAGAGAAGATTGTATGTATATCTTTTAGTTGATTCATAAATAGCCATACAGCTGGGAGTTAGAAAAAAATTAAAAAGTACACAAATTTGCCCTGCTGAGCCAAGAGAATGGGAGAAGATGGACTATGGTTACAGGACGAGAATAACTATATTTGTTGCTAACCAGCTCTTCTCTGTGACCTTGGGCAAGTCCTCTCTCTGACTTTTTCTTATCTATAAAATGGGGATAATAATACTGATCCACTATCTGTTATCTGCAATTCTGAAATTCAAAGAACTCTGAAGACCGAAAGTTGCTTTGGTTTTGTTTGAATTTCATAAGTGGTGGCAAACTCAGGTGATGGTGAAACATGGCCTGAACACTGAGGCTTTCTAGCCCTTTCCCACTTGGTATGAATATTCATGAATTCTGAAGAAACAGTAAGGTTTGATTATGGAGCGCTCCCCTACATCCCGCTGGAGGGGTTTATAACAGAGGCTGCATGAACTCTGCTCCCTTTCTAAAATCTGAACAGTTCTGGATTCTGAAACATCTGGCCACAGGGGCTTTAGATAAGAGATTGTGTATCTGTAATCCCGTCCTCATAGGCTTCTGGGAAGATTAAATTTCTTACAACCGAACTCAGAAAACGGTGAAACTATTATTGATTATCATTATTTAAACTCGGAAATTAGACTCCCCACTCCCATCTCTGAGAATGAGTGAGGATTTAATACCTGATGACGCCTAAGATTGTTCTTTATATTTTTTACATTTTAGTCTGTCAAGTGTGATTTATGGTGTATCAGTTATTGAAACGGAATGTTCCTCTTCACCATCCTACTCTGAACACTTATCCTTCTTTTTTTTTTGCAGTCTTTACATACTTGGATGGGAGCCTTATTTGCCTTCAGGTGTTAACTGATAAACTTATTTTGCTGTCGTCTTTCCTAAGGTGCAGTTTACGAAATGCGTGTTTAGATGATACATTTCCTAATTAAAACACAAGCAGACATGCTTATTTTCTGAGCGTTCTCAATGAAAGTGAGTTCATAACATGTTTTAAGACGAACATCTTTGTATAGTCCTTGGTTAAAAACACCAGAGCAAAAATATCCACCTAGATTTCATTCAGTGTTTCCCAAGTAGAATTTTATTTTTGTGGTTGATTTTTGGCATGCTTCCTGTTTCTTCAAGCTATGTAAAACCCTTTTGCCATGTTTAATCCTTGACCTATGGGCACGGAGAAATGATTGTGTAATACACATCTAGTACTGGGAAATTTTTAACTGAAAATCTCGTATCCTGAAATGCTTGGGAGAAGAAGAAAGATAGATTATTTAAGTAAATATTATATTTCAAAAGGAAGAGATAAAGCCATTATTTCTGAATGTGCTTTTCAGTGGGACATTTGCCTCTGTTCAGAGTTGGGTGGGAACATAGCAATAATGAATCCCTTTGCCACTCTGGCTCCTGCTCCCCAGTGTCTTTTCCTTGGAGGGATGTTGCTGCCAAATTAGGACAGCAACCTGTGTGTATGTGTGTGTGTTCACCTTTGTTTGGTAAGTGTTACTAGGTGCCCTGCTCTTGGCCAGCAGGTCCACTGCCTGGGTGGTTTCACTCAACATCAGAAAGAGGAGGAATGCAGTGATGAGGCACTGACCCAGAGAACAGGGATGATAAGGTTTAAGATAGTATAAGGATTAGAACCGAGACTTTCTATACTGGTTCACAGGTAAGAAGAAGAATAACACGGAATAGGACCTTTCTCCTTCAGTTTGTTCTAGGTCTCATGCTTTCTCCACCCTATTTTCCAGTTCTATGACCAACCAACCAACCAGTCCCTGGACTTCCTCTCCCTGCAGAAGGAGATGGGGGGAGGAAAAGTTTCAATCACTTATAAATGGAAAGATCTGCATTTTGATCCTCTTGCTGCCATGACTTGCTGTGTTACAGTAGGGCAGTCCTTCTTTCACGAAAGCAGAGGACCAAATGGCCCCTTCCAGATTCCTCATTCTTTTAAGCTATGACCTTAGAAGATAAGTACAGTTGTTTGGGGAAAATTTTGCTTTGCAGTTTTCTAATCGGTTGACTTTGGGTAAAATCTCTTCACTCTCTGCCTGATTTTGTCTTAAAAAAATTTTTTTCCATAAACCCTAATTCCTATGAGTCTCTCTAGAGTATTGTAAGGATGGGATTAATTATAATCTGTTTAATATCACTCAGTACAAAAGAACATTGTTTTCCCATTTAGTTTCTGATCCTCAATAAAGCTGCTCATAGTATTAATCATTGAAGTCTTTCTAAAACTCAGTTTCTTCATATTAAAGAGAAGATAACAGGAAATAATGACATAACTGTGTTTTGGTAAATGTGAAATACTTTATAAACATAAGACTTTATTTAAAGGAGGGAAAATGATCAATTTGATTAATGAACGTATCTCCCTCTAAGAAGATTGCTGGATGTCATGCATATAGTAGCCAGTGGTGAACATACAACAGAAAGTGAGTATATTTTCCTTGCTCAGATTTTGAATATAACAGTATCTCTGCTTGTTTCTTTCCTTCCCTCCACCATCGGCCCCTGTCTAAGCAGTATTCTACAGAACTGAAGAAACTGTATTGCCAGATAGCGAAGACATGCCCCATCCAGATCAAGGTGATGACCCCGCCTCCTCAGGGTGCTGTCATCCGTGCCATGCCAGTCTACAAGAAGGCTGAGCATGTCACCGAAGTGGTGAAACGCTGCCCCAACCATGAGCTAAGCCGTGAATTCAACGAGGGTAAGGAGAACTGGGATCAGTGGCTGTTCAAGTCATCTTCTTGAAGATAGAGCTCCTGTGAGATTTGGGGTCCACCTACCTGGTTCCAACCTCTGCAATCTGATGGCAGCTCAGTCTACCTTGTTGGTTGACAAGAGTGACTGAGAATAGTGATGAATAAATGATGAATACACTTGTGACTTTCACAATGATTGAACTGTTTATTTTAATATTGGTAATTGCTATACGACCTGGACTTGGCTCTTTGTTTTGCTTCCTCTTTTTATTTTTATTATAATTTTTTAGTGGGAGAATATAAGGAGAACAATGTGGCATCTGGTCTGTTCAGGCAAGGGTGTCCTTCAGCTTCAGGGCCTCTCCCAGGGTGACTGTCAAGGCTAGACCAATTGGGAGCTGAATGGATAAGAGAAAGGAACATAAAAGCTGAGAAATATTTTTAAAAATATGGAAGAGGAAAGTGGGAAATAAGAAAGAGAATTGAAGACAAATAATAGATAAGGGGAGCAAATGGAAGATCTGGAACATAAGCTGAGGGGCAAGGTAGACAGCAAAATGAAGGACTGGGAGTCAGAGAGCAGGTTTATTGGGGCCACCGTTAAGCTCTGTAACCATGGATAAATCATACCCCAGGCTGTGAGCCTCAGATCCAGTAATGGTTTTACAGAAGAGCTTATTATTTCCAAAGGTCCCCTTACACCTGCTACTCTAAGGTTCTATGAAGGGAGCTAAGTCAAGAACACAGAAAAGTGGAAGGGAAAGACAGGAGAAAACATAAAGTTTTATCAGAGTGATGGGAGAGCAGAAGAGTTGGGAGTTACAATACTTCTTATAAAAAATATATGCAAAATAGAAAGATTAATAGCCAGAGGGTGTGAATGTAGAGACTATAAATTATGGTAGAGAAAAAAGTAATGACAAAGAGACTGTAGAAATTTAGACAGAGAATATAAAGTTAAAATCCTACCACCTCTAGTCCTTGTTGACGTGACCTCATTATCCATAGCTTTGCATCTTGCTTTTCACTTAGCAATATGCTCTGAGGGTTATTTCTCATAGCTAGGCTTCGTTATAGGTTTCCATAGCTGCCTTTGACCCATCAAAGTGACATACCCACTTTTTTTTTATCGTTTTTACTTATTGTTTGACATCGTAGTTGTTTTTAGTTTTTGCCATAATAGATGGCGCTTCAGAGAGCTTCTTGATACACTTAGCCTTTAACTTTCATTGAATATCAGTTTGTGTAGAGCAAGAATATGCAGTCAAAAGTGAAAAACACCTTTATGGCTTTAACCCTTGGAGAAGCATCTTTCTTTTAGAATTCTGACGAGTATCACATTTTGTGAAACTTTGCCTACGCTCTTTTTAAAACCTGTTTCCTTTCTCTTATCCTCTGTCCTGGGGCTCCTTCAGCACAACAAAAGCAGTAAGTTTTGAATCTTTATGAACAAAGCAAGATCTAAGGACAGAGACTTGATCATGAAGAAAAGAATAGGAAAAGTGAAAGTTATATCCTTGCCATCTGTAGCTTCTGATTTAGTATTTTTAATGGTTAATTTCGGGGCAGTGTTTTTCTCTCAAGATAATATATTTTTTTAATTAACTTGCTCCCTTTTCTTCCATTTTCCAGGGAACATGGCAAAATTCTTGTATGATCAGGTCAGAGATGTAGCCATAGAGTTCTCTACAACTTGAATTGTTGACCTTGAGCACCAGAAACATAGGACAGTTCCCTTAAATATAGATGAGCATTCCTGTGCTTTCTGTTGCTATAAAGGTTGTGATACCTTTGTGTATGAGATATCTGTCAACAGGATCTATTCCTTTATCCTAGTATGTGTATTTCCTCTATTACAAACCATTTCGTTGGCCACCACTTCTGTCTGTGCAGTTTCATTTTGTTCTCTTTGGTTTGAGAGTGAAGAACTATCTTTCCTTTCTCTGTTCTGCAGGACAGATTGCCCCTCCTAGTCATTTGATTCGAGTAGAAGGGAACAGCCATGCCCAGTACGTGGAAGACCCCATCACAGGAAGACAGAGTGTGCTGGTACCTTATGAGCCACCTCAGGTAAAGAGATAAGGACTGGGCAGACCTGAGCGAGATTAGTTTTGCTGATAGCAGGGTGTTTCAGGCATGTACTTTGGTCTTAGTTCTTGTCATTGAACAGGTTAACTTCTTTTTTTTTTTTGTATTTCTTTCCCTCCTCTCCATAGGCCACTTTTCTATCCCCCTTTAAAACTCCTAAATCTGTACTAAATTTATACTTGGTAACATGGCTCTGCATTCATGTTCCCATCTTACAGGCAGATAATAATTGAATCTATAGTTAATACATGACATTATTATCCAGAGATTTTTAACTGGCAGTTCAGCTGGTAGTGAGTGTGCCCCTATACTAGATGCAAGTTTGCTCACACTGGCATGAAAATGGGAGACCCTAAGAAGGATCTCTTAGCTGAAGTTTGAATGATCAGGTTGGCAGATTAGAAAAGCAGAGTGGTGTGGCGGAAAGAACACTGGAGGAGTGGGCCAGAGTCTGTTAGTTTGCTGGCTTGCTCTGTGCACCTTTAGCTTGTAACTTCTCCATCTCTGGGCTTCAGATTGCCTGACTCATAATTATTAATTTTTTTGGACTAGATAATTTAATTCTGAGGCCCTTTTAAGCTCCAGAGTGTTCTTTATAGAAGTGTACCTTCACATACATGTTGTATGTTTTATCAACCTTGGTAAAATGTCCCTGGAGCATTGCTCCTATTGTTGGTAATTTTTTTTATCTTTTCCTTTTTATCTGTGTGATGAACTCTGTTTGAATCAGGAGATATTGCAGATGAATAGGGTCCAAGATTGTTATTTGTAAAAAGCCTGTCTCACCTTATGGAGGGCCCACTGTTGCGAACATTAGCTTGACATTTCCCAAAGAAGAATCTACCTTGGGTTGTAGAGCTTGCCTTCCTAGAAGAAAGCATATCTCTTCATCAGAGGTGTAGTTGTTTAAACAGAAGAACTAAGACAGAAGGACTAAGAAGGAAGAATGTCTGAATCCATTGTTAATACAGAATCTTTTCCCCTCTGTGTTCAGGTTGGCACTGAATTCACGACAGTCTTGTACAATTTCATGTGTAACAGCAGTTGTGTCGGAGGGATGAACCGCCGTCCAATTTTAATCATTGTTACTCTGGAAACCAGAGAGTAAGTGGCATATGCAGAATTGTCATTCTGTAGAAACTCTGGGCAGAGGGCAAAGTGAAATTGTGTTTGCTTTATCATTACCTTTGCACGTACAGCAGAGAGCTAGCCTTGATTTTACCTTTTGTGCTTTAAATCCTTGCTGCAAACACTTATATAAAAGATCTAAGAAAGTGAAGACAGAACTGGGTGGGTAAAGGTAGAAGAGAAAAAAAAATAAAAGAATTGGGAAGGCGTTCAAGTCGCTTCATACCTGAATTCCTGACATTTGACGGGAATAGCTTCTGATTAGACAGTGTTTGTTTTCACATGGTCCCCGAGGCATTTAACAGTTTCTTTGAGTAAATCTGAGCTGCCTCGGGGGATTTTATCTGGAGACACCCACTGGCTTAACTCAAGTTTCCTTCAAAATATGTAGCTAAATACAGCTGTTCAGCTAATGGCTCGGAGGTTCTTTGCAGAACAAATGGGTGCTATTTACTAATATTGCTTATGGCAAGTAAGCACTTTTGTGTTCTGCCAAATGCTTCAGGGCCCATCCTCAAAGCCAGCACAGCCGCTCTGGTGGTGCTGGGTACCGGCAATGGCCAGCAGCATCGGAAGGAAGGAATAGAAACAGGAGAACTCCGGGGCCTTTTCAAATCCTTTTAACTTAACCCTTTCTTCTCCTCGTCTCTAATTTTTAGTGGGCAAGTGCTGGGCCGGCGCTGCTTTGAGGCCCGGATCTGTGCTTGCCCAGGGAGGGACAGGAAGGCGGATGAAGACAGCATCAGAAAGCAGCAGGTGTCGGACAGCACAAAGAACGGTGACGGTACGAAGCGCCGTAAGTAGCTGTAGTGGCCAAATGGGGTGGGGTGACGTCCTCTCCAGACGTAGGGGCCGGGGAGTGATATTTGAGAAGCTGCAGAATAAGACCTAAGGGCTTTAGAAGCAGCCTGACCCGAGGCCACCAGAGCCAGGGGGCGCAGCCATGGCTGAAATGGACTCCAGGTGTGCGCCACTGCTTTTCAAAGCAAATGATCATCATGAGGATTTCTTAGCCCAGCGTCCTCAGAATATGACTCCCACACCAGCAGCACCAGCATCATCTGCAAACTGGGTAGAAATGCAAAGTCTTAGTTCCTAGGCTTGGAATCTATGTTGTGAGTCCTCCAGGTGCCAAGCTCAAGTTGGAGAAGCAGTGTCTCAGCCTGTTGGTCTCCATTTATCCTTCTGCCATTGAGCATGAGGGTTGAAACTACCATCTTCCTACCTCACGAGTCTGGGGGAAGAGTGAGATTTAGGAACGCATTTCATGCAGCCCAGGCTGGGGAATCTGCAGGTCTGGGCTCACTGATACTAGATACGTAAGGCCCTCCAAGGTCCCCAGGTATGCCATTTACTGTGAGGCTGACGATCCAAATCGGTTGTTTCAAACTTGGTTTTTTATCAGTAAAAGCTTTTTTTAAATGAAATATTTCAAGGAATGTGAAATAGGTAAGAGCAGAGCTGCTCTTGCTGAAGGAGCAGGAGTCGGGGGTGGGCTGTGGTTTCAAGCTCCACCCACCCCTTGCCCAGGAGGCACCCACCCCCAGAGGCCTCGTTCTTCTGGTAACAAAGCTTGAAAACCACTGACCCAGGTGAGCCACTCGCAGGTGAGATTTAATTCTGGAAGGTGGCTGGCATAAGCCTGATATTCCTAAAGCAAGAATTTTAAAGTATGTCACACTATGAATTATATCATGATCAAAGGTTTTCATCTTACTCCTAATTACTATCCAGAAGAAATAAAAATAGTATTGTGTTTTACAGAACAATAGAATATTCTAACAGCCAGCCTCCATCAACTTCTGGCTGTTCAGTGGGATTTGCTTTTCCAGTTAGTCTATTTTTCTCCCTGATTATTTCTCAAAACATCATATATATACTATTTATATTAAAATATAATAAATAATATATATAATATCAGCAGTTATATCCCCACCATAATTTTCCTCTTGAGTGTGTCTGGTGGTCCAGTTCCATATGCTTCCCTGAGCAATTCTGGTACCTATAGATCAGTAACTTTCAGAAGACCACTTATCTGAACTGTGCTAGAAGGATCATCTCTATACCCCAGCTCCTGGGTATAGTTTCTGAATTTTGGAAACCTTAGGGATTTATCAGATTAATTCACTCATTTTACCAAAGGGAAAAAAATGAGATCCCGGAAGGAGAGACTGCTTGTCAGAAGTGATGCGATGTCTGTACTAACACGGGAAGGGAACTCACAAGGCTGAATGCATTGGCAAGACAACCTCTACAACACGCGTGTATCTCCTGGGAAGATAAAGGATCTGAAAAATAAAACACAACAGCAGTTTATCTTCTTTTCCTTAATAGCTGTTCCCAGACACACACCAGAAGACACAGGGATTCCCGCAGCACTGCTTAAGCCAAAGGCCATTTCCCAGCCTCCCCCCACAGATTTTTCTTTCACTTGTTCTGCCTCACTCCCACCGCCTCATTATTACTAGGTCTACACTTAAGGTAAAAGCAATCATCACCGAGTGGCTGCCTAGAACTAGAAATTCTAATCTCAGGTATTGCTGGTGCTACTGTCTGTTCAATAAATGCATTATTGCTTCAGAAATGTTCCCAGGATGAAACTCGCGTTTTTTTCCTTCGCCAGCTTTTCGTCAGAACACGCATGGCATCCAGATGACGTCCATCAAGAAACGGCGATCTCCAGATGACGAACTGTTATACTTACCAGTGAGTCCCCCTGGGGAGTCAGGACTGCTGCATTTTCACTTTCTTTGAATCAACTTTTACTCTAGGGTCATGTTTTTGATTATCTGTGACAGTGAGAGAAGGGTGATGGAAGCTAGTGACATAAAACAGAGAGAATCCATTTTTTGAAAAATTAGGAACTTACTCCTTCCCTCTACAATTCTGAACAGGTTAATAATGTGGCCTTCTTTACTTCCTCTTCACCTAATCAAAGCTACTCTCCTAATAGAATGTTTCTTACCCTAAGTTTTTAAATCAGTATATACTTCATGATTTAAGAGTGATAAGATTATCCTAGACAACATGGCCATGTCAATTTAGGACTCAGATTCTGTCAGAAGGCATTCACAAAGCTGATAATACAACAGTTACAAAGAATGGCCTGTGATTTATTTTAGGGAGTGCTATAAAGCAAGCCAGGCCTGCCAGGATCCTCAGTTACGTGTGAATGGCCAGAGACTTGGCCCAATTATTGTGTAAAAGCCTTGGACGTTCCTACAGGGAATATAAGCCTTCTCACGCCCACTGAGGCATCCCTTTTTTAGACTATGGTTGCAGTCCGTTGAATTCTTACCACCTTAGGTCTTTGCCATCCGGAGTGGCAGTGAAGTTTTGGTGACCAGGGTAGCCCTTGGTGCCATGTACACGGACAGGAGACACGGGCTAGCAAGGCCAGGAGATCCGACTGGGATTGAAATGAAAAACAGGTTTGGGTGTGCCGTGCCCACTGCCCTTCCTTCTCTGGGCCCTGAAGGTCAGGTCAGGGAATGAGACTGCTTACGGGTAGAACAGCCAGTGAGTCAGCTAAGATTCTCAGTGTCTTATTCCTCAGGCTACATATGGAAAGTGACATGTGGACGTTAAGCTAAACATTTCCCTGCTGTACTAGATGTTCCAGAAGACCTAATGTATTTTTAGCTGATGAGATAGGAACCACTGGAAAACCTGTTTTTTCATTAAATTTCAGTCTGTACTAATGGAAGAGACAGCCTGTAATCGGTTATACCTCATGTTTAATGAAGAATTAGCCAATCTGAAGTGTCTAAAGAAAAAAAAATCTTAAAAAAAATTATTTCCTTTTTTTTAAACTTTTTTTTTTCAGTGGAGTTCTTGGGATTGAACCCAGAACTTCATGCATGCTAAGCATGTGCTCTACCACTGAGCTATACTGTCCCCCACACCAAAAAAAAAAAAAAACCCTCTTAATTTAACCTGAATTTGGTTGGTATTTGTGGAGCAGCAGAAGTGCTAGACCCTGAGCACTTAGAGATCAGTAGGTTACAATTCCTACCTTCCAAGAGCGTGCCTTCTAGTGAGGAGACTTGACCAACGCAATGAAATAAATGCTTCAGTAAAGCTGGGCGTGATGCTGCAGGAGCACATAGGAAGGATGGAAGACTTGGCCTGAAAGACTGAGGTCAGGAGAAGCTTCTCAGAGAATGTGATCCCAGAGCTGGGATGAGAAGGAGTTTACCCAACAAAAGCTGGAGGAAGTTTTTCCATTTCTGGATTCTGACAAACTCTGCCTCTCCTACCCGGGCAGGAGGCAGGGCTGAGGAAGGTGCAGTGCTAGAGTGTGCAGTGTAAACAGGCCCTCACTCTCGAGGCACAGGCAGGTGCCCTCCTTCCTCCACTTGCCTCTCTCTAGTCCTGGTCTTGCTTGGACTTTTTAAAGCTTTTAAGAGACTGTCTTCAAGAGGGAAGCACATTTAACCCCTGCTGAAGACATGTGTCCTCCCAGAGACAGTTATTCTCATGATCTGTGGTACTTATGCTTTTTAAAGTCACAGTGAACCCTGTGCTAGCAAGTACAGCCTCCTTTGCTCCTAGGGGAAAGACCGGATTAGGTTGCTGTGAGCTTCTGGTCATGTTTTTAGCAACTGATCGATACATTACCTTGTTTCATGTGTGTTTCTGTTTAATGACACCTTATTTAGTGTAGGCTGTGTTATCTAGACTGTGGATTCATTAACGTTGAACTCAAGCCAGTGACTCATGTCTGAACTGAGCTTATCTAGCACGTATTTTCTCCATAAGGCACATCACGGCCTTGTTGTGCTTAGGAACACTAGATAGCACCTCGGCTACCCTTGGGAACTACGTTAAACAGCAAATTCACCAACAAAAAAGGTGACAAGTATGGCGTTAAGTAGACTACAAGAAGGACACTTGTTTCCCGCAGGAGAGCGGGAACATGCTAGGAACACACACATTGGGTGACTCAGCTTTTTTTGTGACTCTGCACACGTCTGTGAGTGCCTGCAAGGCCGGCCAGTATTGGTTTTCATGATACTCATAAATGTGAACAAGTAGGTGAATTCATCCACTCACAATCCATGAATAATGAGGATTGACTGTACGTCTGATGGTTCTTCATTTTTTTCCTTCTCTTTCCTTCTGCTTTTTTATGTAGGTGAGGGGCCGTGAGACTTATGAAATGCTGTTGAAGATCAAAGAATCCCTGGAACTCATGCAGTACCTTCCTCAGCACACGATTGAAACCTACAGACAGCAGCAGCAACAGCAGCACCAGCATTTACTTCAGAAACAGTGAGTGTGTCCATGTGGCGTTTTAGGAGATGTGAGAACGAGGAGTGTTCATTCAGGTCAGCAACAGGGTAATTGATGGGTGATGGAGAAGAGGAGCTTGTGAGACGGCAGAACTGGGTAGGTTCAGGTGAGCTGGTGTGGGGCACCTTTTCCAGTTTCAACAACCTTCTGTGTTTCTTAGAACCTTCCCTTTGAGATGTTCTACCTGCATTCTGAAATATAGGGTATAGAATCCTAACCATTTTAAGTGAATTACAAAAAAGACTCACACTAACAGAATTGGTTCTCTTCTCTTTCCCCTTGATTCATGCAAATTCTATCAGTAATGGAATTCTGAGTGCGCACTCTACTCTAGTAATAATGTGTCTGTTTAAAAACATGTACCCTCCTCTCATCCCAATGGATTCTCTTGTACCTCTCCTGGGATGCACACAATACACTTTGGGGAAAACTGTTACAGACTAGGGATAGCACATAAGTTTTACTCCAAGTGACTTCTTTGAGTGCTGTGTTGAGAAGGATTCAGAGTCCTGGTTCATGCTTATTGAGAAAACATCTGGGTGCAGAAGGGCAAGGTGGCATCAGGCTGCCATGTTTTAATATCCCTGTTCTAGGTCTTTGTCTAGCAATGCATGTTTACATAAGTAAAGCCAGATTTTGCAACCATATTAGAATATACATAAACCTATTTATGTTAATTTGTACCTTCATTCTTAGATCTTTGATGATGTTAATTGTTTTATGACTAACCAGAATAGAATGGCTCTTATGAAAAGAAGAGAAGTGGGGCAATCAGGGCTCCATTTATACTTACCCTTCTATGGCTAAGAATATTTAGTTGTTTGCTTAAAAGCTGTTGGGTCTGTACTGGAAGTATTGCCCCAGTCTCTACAGATAAACATAAAATGTATACATTTGGGGCTCATTTGAGTAATTCAAGCATTTGACTTTACTCTTTAGGCAAAAAGAAATGAAGCCAAAACCATCTTGACTAAGGCCAAGATTGTCTTTTACAATAGAAATGTTAATGAACAATAAATAATGGATTTTTTTCTCACGTTATTAGCTACTATAGAGTGATAGCTATAAAAAGTGTAATAGAGCAGGTTTGCTACTCTCTTTTAAATCAAAATAAGTGCAGCTGAGGTTGGACCACATCTCTGATAGTCAGAAGGCATCTTCTGAGCACCTGCTGACTACAGGGTGTCAGGTAGGCAGCAGAGGGATAGAAAAGAAGTGTGCTCTCTCTATAAAGAACTTTAGGCTCTTTGAGCAGTTAAGATCCTTTAGCCTGGATTGGATCTCACCATTTACTTCTGGCAGGAAAGTTTTGCAAATCATAATTATATGGTTTTATAGTAAGTCTGAGTGGAAAGTTTAATCACACAGGTTCCTTGGGGACACAGAGTACTCTGAAGGAGAATTAGAATTCAAGGTTAACAGAATTCCCATGGTCAATCCTATATATTTTTTAGGATATCAGATAGAGGTATATGAATATATTCTAGAGCAAACTGTGCAAACTGATTTAGGTCTTATAAACTAATATAACAGGAAACAAAGAAACAGACCTATAACATCATTTACAGACCCAGAGGGGATAAGTGCCTTCTCCAAGATACGCACATCATGCTATTAAGACATGCCCCCAGATCAATTCCAGTTCACTCTGGAAATGGTCAGCTTGGCCAAAATGACCTCAGAAGAACTACTCAGGAGCTTATACTAAACTAGTTGCTCCGTGATTTTCCGTCTTTTCTTCAGTTAACAGGAAAAGTGCTGTCAGTATTAAGTGATGTGGTTTGAAAGGTCTGACCCTCTAGCACAGGGGTTGGCAACCGTTTCTTCTGAGAAGCACCAGTGGTAAATGTCTTAGGCTTTCTGGTCCATATGGTCTCTTGCAACCACCCAGTTCTGCTGCCAAAACACAGAAGCAACCACAGACAATATGGAAACAAAGGAGAGAGGCTGTTACAATAAAGTTTTATTTTATGAACACTGAAATTTGAATTTCATATAATTTTCACATGGCATGAAATATTCTTCTTCTTTTGAATTTTTTCCCACCTTTTCTAAATGTAAAAAGCATTCCTAGCGTATGGGTCAGATTTGGTCCGTTCACTGTAGTTTGCCAATCCTTGTTCTAGATTAACAAGTGTCTCCATGTGTCTTGAGGCTCGTATTTTTTGATGGGAGTATTTGGAAATTAGTCTGTTTAAAGTAGAGAAGTATTAAAAGGTTTTGAGAAATCTTTTAAAGTGGCACTTCAGGGTCTAACAAAACAAAAGCAGATCCCTTCTGTCTGAGAAAGTTAGGCATGCCCATCCAGACACAAAGTATGGTTAAATCATCAGCTAAGACTGGAGTAGTTGACTTGATTCAGGTAACGAACTTTTACTGAAGGGCTGCTACACGAAAACATCAAAAACAGAGATGAAAAAGTTGCAGTTCCTGCCTTCCCATCGTTTACAATTTGGTGGTGAATCTGTAACCAGAACACATTTTGAATCTTAAGGAGACTCTGGGAATTTATCCTCAGCATCATGGAAGTTAAAAGGACAATTTTAAACAGCTTCTCTAGATTGTACAATAAAAGGAATAGTTTTGTGTCACAGTTTTACAGACTTAACAAGCCAAGACATCTGCTGGTTGGGGTCATATGTATTTGCTTGTTTACATGCTTCTCTTGAGGATATGTAGTCCTGTGTTCCTAAATGATGTGGCATCCAGTGCTTATAACCTGTCTAGCCTAACCGGCTGGCATTGCTCTAAAGGGAAATTATTTTATTTATAATTCATATATCATAAAAGAATCTATTTCATTGAAGAAGAAGATGGATCTTAAAATTGTTTTTAAGATGCTCAAAAGATTTTAGAGACATATTTTCACTTTTTTGCATGTGTAGTCACAGAGAAACGGAGAGGAATTAGTAGCCACATAGTTCTCTGTGGTGTCCACTTATATGTATCATTGCATGGTTTTGAGTGGTTATCTCACAGTGTGTAAGAGCTAACTTAAGCTGTGATAACGTGCATGGGAATATAACAGACTGCAAAATACAGACATTTCGTCTAATTATGGCTTTGTTACATTATACATACATGGGTCTCCAATGATTGATATACATCTATATGAATCCTCCAGTTGCTGTATTCTTCAGCTGAGCTTTTTTCAGCTCTTTTATCATTATGCAAATCTCAAAAAAAAAAAGCATAATGACTAGACAAAAAAAAAAAAATGGAAGCCCAATTCCATGGCCATCATTTGAAAAGAATACGTCAGCTTGGAAAATGTCTGTGATAGCCTGTGATTTCCTTTCCAAAGACTTAGTACCAATTTTATGTTGGTGAGGAATCAATTTTGTGCTTTTCTTCATAGTATAAGAGGGAAAATTATTGGGAAGGGAATCTACTTTGTACAAAGTTGCAATACAGTATTTTAAGTTCAGTTGCTTCTGTTAGTTCCCCACTATGAGTTTTCTCTGTTTGCTTTTTATTGGTGCATGATTTTCCTCTTTTAAAAATTCCTTCACAATTACCTTCATGATCATAGGCTTTATGGAGGCTAAATTTTACACTGAGTTTTTGTGAATCAAATTGTTATAGATGTGAATAGGCTTTATACCATTTATAAAGAAATTTGATTTTACTTAATTTGCTCACATTGGAATAAACAGAGAGAGTTGTGTCCATGGGAGCCAGAATCTAGTTGGGGACAGATTGGACCCATTCTTGTCACTACACACCTTACTGCCATATTTTCAAATGACATTAGCTCTTAAGACAGCTTTGCAGAAGCCACTTGAGACCTTTTTAGCAATGTTTTGACATGTGTACCTTAGACCAATACTATCTCTTTTTCATTTTTTTTCTAGAATTTATCCTTCTTGGCTTTCATCCTGATCTCAGGCCAACTGTTAAAATTTTGCTTACCCTAACTCTTGCTTTCCTCTGGAGAATTATTTTTGAGTTTCTGCGGGATGGATTTATTTTAATTTTAATGCAAATATGTGACATCTTAAGGAACCTTTAGTGTTTCCTTCTTCTTTATAATCACTTGATGATTGTGGCTCATTAATAATATAGGTCAGAGAATATTGGAACAGAACATGGTCTTCAAGACCTTTGTTCCAACCTCTTCCTACCACAGCTGGGGAAATGGAGGCCCAATGAACTACACTTGTGATTTCATGGCCAGTTCATAATAAAGCCAAGACTAGAATTATAATTGGAAGGCACAGCTGTTTATAATATTCTGGTCTGCTTCATTAGTTAAGAAAGTTATAATAATAAAACCAAAGCAAGCATTTATTCCCATTTTTGGGATCTGTATCAATTAGTTGGTATCTACCCTTATAGTTTCAGTATAAAGTCTTGTCTTTTTAAGCTCATTTTCTTCAAGAATATTGATAATCTTTCCTCAGATTCATGTATCTGAGAGAGAAGCAAGAAATATGTAGGGGTTATCAAGGTAGGAGAAAGCAGAAAACAAATCTTTCTTTAGCTCATTGATAGACATAATAAATGTTGTATTTCTAAGTTTGACTTAAAAATCCTCCACACTTCCAGAATATTTGTTTGACATCACCAGTTTCATAGATAAAAAAACAGGTAAATATGAGCAACTTTATGAGATTCAGCCTTATAGGTCATGGCCCTGCACAGGCTTTTATAGTTTACACAGTGTTAGCATTGAACTTCACAGTGATGGCCGGAAGTTGTCAGGATAGAGATTTATTAGCTCTGGATTGGTATTGAGGAAATAAAACTCAGATTCATTAAATTCAGATAGATTAAATCACTCCTCTATGTCCTCACATCTCACTGCAGAATTTGTCTCAGTTCTGAGTCTCCCAAGCCCCCTGGTCCAGACACTTTTTATCATAACTGAAACGTGATTTCTGCACCTTGTCTCATTCAGCCCTTGCTCTGAGAGACGCCACAAGATGTAATATCCAAACAAGAAGTCAAGGCCATTGTTCTTTAGTTGACGATAAATT